CCTATGGTAGGCCCCTGAGGAATCCAGTCATTCAGTTGGACAGTCACTCTAGTAGTGTCTAAATAAGCAGGTTCAAACTCAGCCATGTTGCTTTAGCTTCTTTACGAAGTCTTGAGAGTCACAGCATTACAGAATGGTTTGGGTTGGGCCCTTAAAGATCATCTAGTTCCAACTCCCCTGCCACGGGCAGGGACACCTTCCACTAGCCCAGGTTGCCCAAAGTCCCGTCCAACCTGGCCTTGAACACTGCCAGGGAGGGGGCAGCCACAGCTGCTCTGGGCAACCTGTGCCAGGGCCTCACCACCCTCACAGGGAAGAATTTTTTCCTTGTATCTAATCTAAATCTTCCCTCTTCCAGTTTAAAGTCATTACCCCTCATCCTGTCCCTACACTCCCTGATAAAGAGTCCCTCTCCATCTTTCCTCTAGCCCCTTTCAATACTGGGAGGCTACTATAAGGTCTTCCCGGAGCCTTCACTTCTCCAGGCTGAAGACCCCCAACTCTCTCAGCCTGTCCTCACAGGGGAGGTGCTCCAGGTCCCCGACCATCTTTGTAGCCCCCTCTGGACCCACTCAAGCAGGTCCATGTCCTTCTTATACTAGGGGCCCCAGAGCTGGACACAGCACTACAGGGGGGCGTCACACCAGAGTGGCGTAGAGGGGAGAATCCCCTCCCTTGACCTGCTGGCCACACTGCTCTTGATGCAGACCAGGATAGGGTCGGGCTTTCTGGGCTGCGAGTGCACATTGATGATTCCTAGTCAGATTTCCATCCACTAATACCCCCAAGTCTTTCTCTGAAGGGCTGCCCTCAATCCACTGATCGCCCAGACTGGATTTGTGCTTGGGATTGCCCTGACCGATGTGCAGGACCTTGCACCAGGCCTGGTTGAACTTGGTGAGGTTTGCACGGGCCCAGCTCTCGTGCCTGTCCAGGTCCCTCCGGATGGCCCATCCCTTCCCTCCAACAAGCTGACCACACCACATAGCTTGGCATCGCCAGCAAACTTGCTGAGGGTGCACTTGATCCCACTGTCTGTGTTGCTGACAAAGATGTTAAACAACATCTTTAAAGACTCATCAAAAGCCTGCAAAATTTCCCTCACTCTTGTAGATCTTCATTGCTAGTACCGGACTATTATTAATTAGTTCCTGGAAGTGGTAGAAATATTTCCTAAAGGTGGTAGCTGCTTCTTTTTCTTCCTGATTTCAGAGAAGCACATATGAAAATATGCCTTAAGCACACCCAAGAGAGATGACAAATAAAACACATAAAGCAGGATTAATGAAGAACAGAGGAAGAACTAGAGTCACAGCTATTTTAGTGTCAACAGTGGAGCGCAGAATAATGAACCCCAGTGCTAGCAGCTGGGCAATTTCAGCTCTTTACCACTCGGTTGCTCAGCTGGACAGAGTGGCAGGATTAAGCCCAGAAAAATTGACAACCAGAAATTGCACTTCTCCTTTCTGGCCACACGATGTCCCCATCACACCACGAACAGCCTGGCCAGACCTCAACAGAAGACTCGGCCACAAAGGCAGGTGTTTCAGATTTCCATATCCCGCCAAAGCATCTCCTTACCTCTGTCCAGGCTCTAAAACACCCACACGGCTGCAGATCAGGGCTAAGTGCCGTGGTGCAGAGAGGGATGAACGGGATGGAGTTGGTGTGGTCCAGGCGCTTCACCTTTCCTCTTGTTGGATGAAGGTGACATGTTGCTGTGAAATAAATAGGAGCCAGATGGTCAAGAGGTGGTAGCAGCTTTTGATTAATGTGAATTATAATAGACAATGAAAAATTTGGATTAATTTCACTTTTTAAAGGTGAGATTTTACTGCTGCTTTCAGTGGGGAATGTGAGGGATTTCTTTTGCAATCTAACTGCTGGCATGTCTCGGCCCTTTGTCATTTGTATGTTGCCCTCAGCAGAACCAAGAAGCCCTTCAAAACCAGAACTGAGATCTGCAGGAACCAGTTGTCAGTGCAGACATTTGTAAAAAGAAATATTGGGATTGGTATGAATGCAAATCTGTTTATGTAAGCATCAGAAGAAATAGCAGAGCAGCAGAGAGGTTAAGGATGCCTTGTATTTGTAACAAATGACACCATTTTCAGCAAAAAAAAATCGAGACTATGTTGTTTTTGTCAAGCCCAGAAGTTGCGCACACCAAAAAGAACATAGCATACACAACTCATTCATGAAAGAGCCTCCTCTCTGATAAGATGAGGATGGCAGCATATCACATCTTCCATTCATTCTCCTGGCAGCCTAGCAGGAAGAGAGACTGCAGCAAAGGATCACCACAAAACAACGATCGATGCTTAAAGATTATCAAAGAACTGTCCCAAAAAACGGTAGGTTTAGTGAAGATTTGACAGCCATCATCCCTTGTTGTGTATGTTGCATGTAAGTTATTAGGGCCAGACCACTTGAACAACCATGTCTTGAGAATGCATGCGGGTGGGTAAAACCAGCTTAATATGTAAATAAATACCATGTTCCCCTTCTGTAAGATCTCATACTGAGTTTGGCCACAGGGCTTTCCTACATCAGCGGGAATGGTACTGCTAAAAGGACAAAGCCTGGTGCCTTTAGGATGCTCAGTCAAATTACTTGAGCTGATTGATGATGCAGTACCAGAGAAGCTTAATCTGAGCAATTTGGTTGCTGTTGGTTGGAACCTACTCGGTTTGTGAGATTTGAGTTGCGAATGTTTGTTGGCCTCCCTCAAACACTAGTAGCTGTAGGCATTGACATCTAATTACACTTTATGAAGATGAAGAGAATCCAGATCTGCCTGATTGTGTACATGTTTTGGTGACACAGTAATTACAGTAATTTACATCGCATTGCTGATCACTATCCTGTGGAGATGGCAAGGTCTTGTTACCCAAACCTGTGGAGTGGCTTTGCGTTGCATCTCTGGTCCTAGGTTTCAGAGACAGTTTGTAATTTGTCTGATCTCTGGCATATTATTTTGATAAACCTGACCCTTACGATCATGAGGACAACTTTTGAAATGTGGAAATAAATTCCAGCTGCTGCCCTACCTGACCAGTTTAAAACCACAGGTATCTTCCACAGCATGACGGCTTGACCCTAACATCCAAGATGCAATAACTTTCAAGAACAGCAAGTTAGCTGTACGCTCGCCAACCTATTTCTATGCACATCACAGCTCATGAGACTCTTGAGAGGTACAATGTACTCGTATGTTTGCTTGAATGCTCATAATGGGCAGACAGCAGATTTGGTTTTCGACAAGCTAACCTCAATCTACGTATTTTAAAGATGACCTGTTAGCGCAGCCGTACCACACAAACTCTTTGACTCAAACCATTCATTTCACAGCAGAACAAGATGGCGTTGTCTTCTGTTTAACTAACTCCCAAAGCACTTCCCTATAATTATATCTATCTTAATCAGACAAACTGGGGATTAAAAAAAAAAAAAAAGGAAAGGACTAATCTGATCCTTGGCCATAATTGGATTACCTTTGCAAATATTAAGTTACAACAATAGCAGCAGTTCTTGTTATAAATTTATTTTTTACTGCTTTTCTTCATGTGAACTAGGCAAATGTGTGTCGCCTGCCTAGAGCTTTTTGGAAGGAAGAAGCAAGAAGTATTGTCCCCAAAACTCTCTTCCTTTTAAAAAAAAAAAGATGAAATTATTAGAAATTGGGAAGCATGTGGCCAGATTGGTCAGTGGTGGTAGAAAAACAGAAGTTATTGAACTTTAATTAGAACTTCTTCCAACTTTTATCTCTTTGTTGAAATACTGGAATAAACTTTATCTGTAATAGTGCCTTGCAAGCTCTAATAATGTCTGGCTTGAGTCAGCTGGGACTCAGTCTAAGACTCAGCTCAGTTCTCATTAAAGACAAGCAGTCATTCCACATCTTTCCATGAGTCTCATAAAACTTCATGTGTTTCAAATGGCAAGGCACTACAGTTCTGACAACCACCACTTACCTCAAATGATTTCAGAAAACCTGTTTTAGGCAGCAGCCATCTCTGTATTCAAAGCTGACATTTGAATGGCTACAGGCTAAGGTTCAAGTGGACATCTCTGTTAGCTTGCTGGTCTTCTCAGCATTGCAGATAGGAAGAAAGAAGGCAAAGACACAACCATGGGGTCAGACAGGCTTTTTTGGAAACCTCTACATTGATGGTTTCATTAAATTCACATACTAAACCACAATACCAGTCACAATTTGTAAGTCATACATGGGCAGGTACTTCAAACTATATTTCTTTCTTCTGGTGCTTGCAATTCTTGCAAATTTTCCATCCTTGTTTATTAGTTCTGGGACAAGAATTTAATGCTTGAAACTAACCAAACTACACTTACATGGTAGATTTGTTTCAGGATTTGTGATGTTCTGCATTGTGCGTCTCAGGATAAAATCTACCCTACAGAGACGTATGAGTGGAAAAGTTGTGTCAAACCCACTTTGATAGCAAACCCAGGCCCTTGATTCTGGAACCAGCATGCTGCTCAGACTGACTGTGTGTGTCAAATGCAAAATTACCCTGAATTTACCGGCCCAGTTGCGTACTGCAAAGGATTTGCTAGATTATTTCTCCCACTTCTCAATCCTCCAAGGAACAAAGTCTGTTTGCTTGGCAGCAGGTTTCTCTGTCAGCCCTTCTACTCCAGTATGGCATACATCAATAAAAAATACCTACTGATCTGGGCTCTCCCAAAGCCTGTGTAGAGGGCTTGGAGAAATGCAGCTCTGCGTAGGCTTGCCCTGGGCTCCAGGGGAAGGGGTTAAATGGAGCCATACGCCAATAATCAGTGATGCAAAGGGCACGGTCTGGGAGAGTGGACCCTAACACCAAGTTACACAATTCTCATTCCGGGGTATTTCCAAAGGAGAGTTTGCTTGGGTGACAGAGCCCAGTGAGCCTAGTCCAGCAAGATGCCCAGCTGCCTATGCAAAGTTGATCAGATAAAAGGTTTGGTCGTCTCCAAACAAAGATGGAAACAAGAACTCTATTCAGGGTGATTTTTATTTCAGATTGAGAAGCTACACAAAGAGAGAACAAATATACATTTCCATGATGGAAGGGAAAAAGAGAGCATCCTATTGTGTCACCCTCCTAATACAACAAACCATCTTCAACCTGAACCACAGGACTGTTTTCTCCCCCAGCAGGCAGGGAGAGTTTTTACGCTGAAGGGTGCACTACACAATAAACATCTGTAATATCTACCACAGGGTCACACACCCCCAGACACAGCAATATGGTCTTTTTTTTGCATATGTACACGTACATCTGTTCTTGGTAGATAATAAAAAGGATGATACAGAGTCACATGGATCAGATCCATAGCTTTAAAAGAGGAACAATTACAGATGTTCACAAGGATTGACACACCCACATGGCACAAGTACTTACTCAATGGAGTGGTTACTCTAAGCACTAGGTTTTATCTGAAGGCAGATATCTTTGTATCAGTGATACTGGATTGTACTGGAGCAGATGGCAGTGAATTTCAGAGTTCATCTGTCTGTCATTTTATTAAAGTAATTAATTGAATGGCTTAACATACAAAAATACAAGAATCCTCCCTCCTAATTAGAGCAATCTGTGTTCATGTCGAAATAAAAGCACACACACGCATACACACATCAGAGGCAGGACTGCTGACAGAGAGCTTACAGGATAAAGAAAGAAACTCACTTTCCCTGTCTCACACCAGGACATCACGTTTTCCCTCCTGTCTCCAGGGATAATGGAGTCTCTTACCTTTGGTGCATAGTTATATTTGAAAGCCAAACAGCAACTTGGAATTTTTCCTGAAGGGAACCAGGACAAGGCACCTTTAAGGATAATAAGGCAGATTGCATACCTCTGCTGGAGAATGAGACTCCTCATGTCTTAGGTGTGGTCCTGCTGTCCCTGAATCTAGAGGCATTAATTAAAATCTAATCAAAATCTTCACCCTCACAAAGCGTGAGTGAGTCAAGTCTCAGATTGCTATAATAACCAAGAAGCAATTTGGAAAAAGAGGGTCACCTCCCATTAGCAGAGGTACGCTCAGCTAGCTGTAGTCCTACACATGGTCTCCATCTCATACAGCACATGCTGTGTGCATGTCCTTACCAAAGCGTAGCCAGGATAGTAACAAAGAAAGTCTAAATAACACTATATTATTAAAAGATTGGAATATTCAGGGATGGCAAACACATTACCTCCACACTGGTCTTCAGGGAAGTAATGTCACAGAGCATCTACTGTGGGGCAGAGCAGGAAGGCAGCCGGGCTGGGCTAGCTTGGTCAAAATTACTTGACTTACTTAAGTGTAAAAAGTCATTATTAAGGTATTGCCTTAATGAAGTAGGGTGTTCTTCAGCCCAGCCCCTCCTCCAAAGTTGAAGCTACATTTTTGTCCCCTCGCAACAGGATGTGAGATAGTCTATGTCCTCACATGGGACTATAAATATCTTTAAATGTCATCTATACACTATAGGAACCTGGTCCTGCTGGGGTCTGGGCAGACTCCAAGGACCACAGAAGACACTGCAAGAAGGGTACAGAGAAGGAAAACCGATCAAAAAATTAGGAAGCTTTGCTTCTGCATCAACACTGACCATCTAGAAAACACATTTTTCTTGTGGGAGGCACCATGTTATAAGATTACTGTGAGCATGTAAAATGCCTCTAGTTACAGACAACAAGTTTTAGAAATGTTCTTTTACTACTGCTTTACTGAACATGATCATCTTAAGAGGACCAGACCAAACCCCTATGCTGCTCAGGAGGTATCACCTCCATCAGAAGTCCACAGGCAACTGAAAGCTCAGGAAATTACACTAATTCACACCAGCGAAGGCCCTGGCCCATCCATTTTGTAGCAATCCTTCTGGTTCTTAAAAAAGCTACAATCCAAACCAGTTAATATTTTGAGTATTTTTTTATGGTTAAACACAATTCTTTCTGTGGGAATGTAATCCAGGGGGATTCAGGCATGTGTAAACAGTTTCCTTCAGAGAAGATTTCCCTTGAGAAGGTCTTTCTGCAACGTGTAACTGCAATTAACTTAAGTTGCACTGACATGCCATATGCAGTTTAGCTTCAGATACTAAATACATGCTTGCAAAAGAAGGGTATTTATTTTCTCAGTGTTGTTATCAGAAGGAGCAAACCAAAGCTATCCTAAGGAACATCTAATACCAAATTTCTTGGTCTCTGTGGCTTAAAACCACACCATAAACTTTGCATTACAATAGGGTTGGCTCAAATTTCATTGTCTCACTTTGGTTCCTGTCAGTAAGCCTGCTTGCCTAGCAAACAGCATCTGTGGCCTTGGGAAAGACAGGTATAAATGTTTCTTGAGCAGGACTTCAAGTAAGAGCAGTTGGTGTGCTGGAACGTCCACAGTCCTCACCTCTTGCTGGCACCAAGATCAGTGGTTAAATCCAAATGAGATTTCATAGCTGTTGAGGGTATCTGCTGACACCGAAATAGAATTTGTTAAGTAACTGTATCATGAACTCCTGAATGAAAGAGATTTTTCTTCTTTCCTTTTCTATTAAAAAGTCCATCCTAGAGGGAAGATAACTCTTCTGTGTCTACACTTCTCCCCTTCCATCCCTCCAAAAAGAGAAGTGATCATCCTGCACTAATAGGCTATTTCTACTATCAATACTCAAATATATTTATAAACCCCCAGATGGTTTTTAGGGAGGTGATAGATGTCAGCTAGCAATGAACTCTGCTTCAGGATTCAAGATCTGCTTGTAGTCTGCTTGAGAACTCTTCACATGACTTAAGAAAGCACTCTTTCACCTTTTTCCACGTGCACTCACTTCTGCAGCTGTGAAATGGGGCCTGCTGGTCACAAATGTCTGTAAAGACCCCATGCAGAGAATGAATACCGTGTAACGTTAACTTCCTAAACCAGTGCTCAGATGTGAAGACAGAGAGCTATGGGAGCCAAATAAAGCTCTTGATCACTTCTTGTCATACTTAAAATATTCAGTGGCAACTGTCTCAACGTGTTGTCCAACATCTGGAAAAAGTTTCAAATCATTTGTCATGCCCTCTTCCCTCCTCCCTGAAACTGAAGCAGCAAGTGAACACGGCTTTCATCAAAATGCTCGCACAGATAACAAGGTCTTCTTTGTCCTTGGAGAATAATGGCTACCACCCATTTATCTGAGGAGCATTTGTCCTAGCTATCCTGCAAGGAGGAATGTGGGTCAATCTCTGATCCAGAACTGTACCGTTATTTCTCTGTGGTCGTGGCTAGCAGCCAGAAGCAGCTTATCAGAGCTCTGTGCTGGCACAGTGCACGCTGCACTGTTGCTCAGTGACGATGTGCTTCAGAAACATCAGCACTCGGCAGCGCCTCTCCCTGCAAATCCTGGCCAGTCAGCAGGCAGAGATTTGCATCATCTCAACTGCATGCCGGAAAAATGCCTGCAGGCTTTTTGATGCTATCTGTAGCAAAACACCAAGAAAAAGATGCTTCCTTCAGGTCTTAGCTTCTTTATATCCACTTGCTTAGCCTGTCTTCTGTGATGCTCCCCCTGCAATCCTCCCACTCTTCCTTTTTCTCCACCTTTCTCACCCATACTGCCAACAAGACAACTTCTTCTCTTAGTTGAAAAGCTCTTTCTTCCATTGAAACTAGACAGAAACCAAGCTGTCAAGACTCCTAATTTAGATGTTGACTCCACAGTGAGAGCTGTTCATTCACCTGAACCTAAGCTTTCATGGAATGCCAGGTGGATGGAGATGGAAAGAGACAGATATGACAGGACACTGTGCTCCCCACGATTACATCACATCCATTTTTTGAAGTGCAACTCACACCGATACCAGCTCCCCCGTTTCCCCTGAATGAGCCCAGCAAATGCAGACACTGGATCTCCTTTCCATCACACAGCTGTTCATACTCTAGCACAATGCAACTCTGACTTCATGATGCATACTTCATTTGATTCCTTTCAGATTTTTGAAAAATTTATTCTTATTTAATATTTAGTGCTCTGTGTCCTCAGACTGCTTTCCACACACTGCAACTCACTATCCTCCACACTAATGCCTGAGAGAGACAGGTAAGTATCTGTAAACTTAATTTACAGAAAAGGAAGCACAGGCAGAGGATTTATGTGGCCTGCCTAATTCTGTGCTGTTCATCAGTCACAGGATCAGTCACTACAGGCAGGTCTGTGAGTGATTATGAACTGCCATGACCCAGTTAAAATCAATGAAGATGTGACATTTTTCCTTCAGTGAGAGTTTGTCTTTTGGACTTTTGACTTCCTATCTGAGGCCCATTGCTCACTGCCTGTCGAGGGTCAGGATTAAAAATGGTGATTTCCAACAGGACAATGCTTTCCAGTGGCTGCAGAAATGTGCTTGGCTAGATTCAGCCCAGACTGTTGACCTGCACATTTTTGCAAGAAGAGGTGGTGGTTTTGTACCTTTTGCAACCTCTCAAGGACATAACTGACAACATATGGCAGGGTGGTCAGTCAAAAAGATACCAAGGCCTTTGATATGACTGAAAGAGGAACAGCCAAAATGCCTCAGTTTCCATTATTCCTGCTGTAAAATATGGAGGAACCGTAGGAGAATGAGTCTAAGAACGGTGACACTGGCTCACATCCACCTCTGGCATTAGCCACAGCAAATGTCCAGGGAAGCGTATAGGAACAGAGCAAGCAGAGATGAAACCTTCCCGCCCTTCACACTGTCCTCCCAACCTTTCGCCACTTCCAGCTCAGGACATTGTCTCTTCAGGCAGCAACAGGGCTGCCCAGAAAAGACAAATCAGAGGTTGTTTCACCAACCAATTTGGTACTTTGGCTGGCTCCACACTTCTGTTATGTTCAAAGGACACAGTCCTGTTTGTCACATCCCTGCAGGGGAAGCCCCAGATTTGGTCCTAGTCTGTTCTCAACACAAAAGCCATCCTGATTGCAAAAGACATCCCCAGAAGGGTTTAAAGATTACCAGATCTTGTAGTGCAATTACCAACACACCAGCCAACACTCAGCGAAAGCTCAGTTCCTGGGAATAATGGGTCTTTACTGGAAATAACCTAATAGCAGCCAAGTGCAGGCACCCCCCATTGCTCACGACAGCTTTTCAGGCATCCACAGCCACATGTCACAGCACAGAACAAGCGCCTTTCTCAGGATGAGAGATAGATACAGCTCCGCACTCTCAGAGCAATTCTGTAACTTCCTAAGTCTCACAAACCTCAGGTGAGTTAAGGACAGGAGCAAAGCAGAATGCAAACTACTTTCCCAAGGACTAGCTGGAACCCTCAAAACTTTGTTCACTCTCCCATTTATACCTGAGCCACTGATACATAGAAACAGCATGGGGCATTCCAGAAAATGGGATGAGATCAGGCAGTGATGGATAAAGCATGGAGTGGAAAGTCAGTCCTGGAGAAGAAGAAATAAAAGATGGTCCAAAACAGTCAAAGAAACTTCACTGAAAAGAGAAGGTAAAAGTTGAAGAATAAATAGCATCAGAGACAAAATGGGATTGCATATGCCAAAGGCTTGCAGACTCTTCCATATTTCCGTATCTTTCTCCCAAAAAGCAATCGCTGTACCAGAGGGTAGGACACAAGTTGTTTGTAGCCTGCATTCCCAAGGAGAGAATTTGTACCTTCTAAAAAAAAAAAAAAAAGACTAAAACCAAAAAGAAAAACGGTGTTTTCTAGATGGAATTTATTTCCTCTTGAAAGAAAAAGCAACTGACTAAAGGTTTCCAATTTACAGTCATGTTGGGAGAACATAAACATAGGTCCAGTCAAGAGATATTGGAGTTAAGTACCACACCAGCACCAGATTTGTGGAGAGCCTGGGTGAGAGCAGAGCAGGTACTACTGGCTGCATCTGCACTGCTGCTGAGCACCTTCTCAGCTCGTAACCTTTTTGGAGTGAGGCTGCATGGGGACGTGAAATAGGGAGCTCCCAGTGTAACACATTGTACTGCAGATCAAGGACAGCATCTAAACTGCACATTCTTCAACAGCCCTTTCATTTTTCTCCCAGTGGCCTTACCTGAAGACTTTGACCACTTGAAACAAACGGCAAGTCTTCTATCTCATCAGGTTTTCAATCAGTATTCATGTTGTTACAAGGCAGTTGTTGGAACGTGTCAAATTTTTTACAGTCAGAGTATAATATTGGACCTTTTACATTTCTACCTTAAGAAAAAAAAATCTGAAGCCAGGTGGAGAGCCCTAGAAGATGCGGCATGGTCATCACAAGGAATGGGAACATCACAGGAAAACAAGAAATGTAATTTCTAACACAGATGATACAGAAAAGACCAAGAAGATGTTCTGACAAGCAGTAGTTACCCAGTGTTCCTGCTTCCATGGTAAACTCTGGGATTCCTCTTGCTGTGCACAAACAACAAAAGAACTGGCACCTTTGTAAATCTAAAGTAGGGCTTCTGTTAAGATTACAGATTACTGGCAGGTTAAGACCCACATACTCATAGTTCATATAAACCCTATGGCACCTGTTTCCAGGAGGAGTGTTACATTTCCTTGGTTCAATTCCTGCCATGAGAATGATTTGACCTCCTTAAATCTGACTGCTCTACCAAGCTTTACATGAACTAGACATTCAAATGGATACAAAACGTGGCAATCCACTAGTGGGCACTGGAAGAGGCATTCTTCAGTACAGACTTTGAGCTTCTACATTGCTACTGGAAAATACTAAGATGACTCTGAGGTATTGGCTTTAATTTACCATTTCATGGGACCTACTGTCAGAAGGAATATGCCACAGCCACACACTGATACAAGGATGAGGCACAATCAAGCTGCAGCAACAGAGGGAAGAAAGATCAATACAGCAATGGCAAGGTGCTGCCTGTGAGGAAGCCCAGACTTTGGACTTGCCCAGGTGAATACTTTTAAATGTGGGCAACAGCTTTGGGTGAAAAAAATAAAAATTGAGAAATGTTCTAGTCTGAAATGTGTCATGAAGAGGGAGAGTATCAGAGGAGCTAAATGTCTGATGGGGGATAAAATGCAACTACAGAAACAAGCCCACAGGGAACAGTCATGATATTCAGCTTCCTTGAAACAATCATATACTGTTTTAAAATCAAAGTATTTGGGGTTCTGGTGCATTCAGAATTTTCAAAGAAACACTTAAGACTTTTTAAAAAAAAAAAAAAAGTTTTGTTGAGAACCATTTTTTCAAACCTCCAACATTTTCCAAAACACCTCGTATTTGTTGACTTTCATTGTCAGCTACAAAGTGCGCTTTTGGTTTCCTGAGTTGAAAGGAGTTGGGGTTATTCTAATGGGAGGAAATGCAAAGTTTCTGTGGGTCTTGATCTGCTAAAAATAAAATAATAAATACTGGGCAAAGGATGTCCCCAGAGAATTGTGTTTGTCTCCTTCCATTTTGAAGATGAGCCAAGGAATGACCAAATTTTGTGGACATGGTTATAAATAAACTGGTTAAAAAGAAACTTCACCTGCAGTTTCTCAGGGGGCTGACTAATCCTTTCCTGCTTTGATTGTTTGCATAGCCCTGCTGCACATGATTAAACAGCCAGTGATGACGCACTCACTGTGTTTTCCCTCAGAGGTAGCCACATCTCATTCTGAGCGTCTTTTTGCAAAATTCATGTGTCCCTTTACCAGGATGGATGCTTTGCAAATGAAGGTTGCTGCTGCTGCTATGAAATGGGAACTGCCTCTTCCTAGTGCCATGAACATAAACATCAGCAACTGGATGTCTTTCCAGGATAGCTTCCTCTGAAGCAAGAGAGGAGAAAGAAAAAGGGAGACTTAGCATTACTTTATATCAAAGCTAAGTGTAAATATATATTGCTGAATTAACAGTGTGGAGACTGACCATATGCAATCATCTTGCTAAAGTAGCCAAGGGAAAGCGTCACAAGTCCAGGCAAATCTTGGCATACACACGGCCATAATTTTGTAATTATTTGCTGTCCAAAAAGCCAAGCTAAATCAACAGGATCTTTGCAATGAGTTTGCCGGACTTTGTTCAGGTTTGGTGTGCAAATCCAGGAAGTATGTTGTAAAGGGAAAAAAGGTGGAGTCAGAATCCAGAAGCATTTGGCTCAGCCTCAAGCAAAGTTTACCATCCGCCACTAAGCAGTACCCTGTCCCAGCACCACCCGGAGTTACTAAATGTAAGCTGCTGCCTGAAGGACATTTACATCAGGACCAAACTCCTAGCAGGAACAGGTATGCAGCTGTCCCAACATACAGAAATCACTGAACTACACAGTGCTTATAAACTCACTTTCCCTTTCAAGTCAACACTCAGACTTGCCTGTTGTCAGTTCCCACATGATGTGTGTTCAGATTTTCTCCTTCCCTGTTCAATTTTGCTGGAAGAGGGATATGACTTAACTTGTTTGGACTGACCCACTAAATAAACATGAGCAGGACATGGCGTGCTAGCAAAGGAGCACGCATGTTTTCATGAAGCAAACTGACTTCTTGATTTCTTGATATTGTCACAGGCAAGCCTCCTTCAGACATATTTATGCTGGAACAGACGATACATTTTTTTCAGCCCCAGAGGGATTACTTTAACAAAATTTCCTCTGGATTTTTTTTCCTTAACAGCTTGGTTAGAGGAAAGGAGAAAACCGGTCCTTGATCTGCACAAAGATCTCCTATGCTTGGTCCCAAAGTTTGGGAGTTACTCACCAAAAGGCAGGAAAGCTGCTATAAGCTGCATTGCAGTGCGGGAATGGAACAAAGGTTGGATCCCTACAAGCTATTAATTCAGATATGAAACAAAATTTAGGAAAAAAAAAAAAAAAAAAAGCTAGTTTTCAGGTTATATTTGACCTTTTTAAGGGATCAGAGAACAGGAGAGAAAGGGGAGTGGGAGAAAAATGTTGCTTCGTATCCTGTCTGTAATGGTCAGTAAGTGTTTCCAGGGCAGACACTAAATTTAAGCAACATTTTCACCCACTCTGGAGTTTCTAGACTGCATCTCCATTCGAACAGCAGCACAATAAGCTTACTAATTTTTCCCTACAATAAGCACATACTGGGTTTGTCTGCTTTCCCACCTCCAACCCATATGAGCCTTTACTAACAGAAGTCTTGTTAAACCAGAAGTCTCAATGGCATTGTTTTCACATACATGTATATGCGTGTGCCCAGGCAACACACATACACATGTATACATACGAGTTATCAAAATACTATTATAAAGCGAGTGTTCTTTCTCAACACCCCTTCTCTGCCCACCCCACCTCCCTCCCCTTCCCCAGGCCAGCGTATTTCAAAACAGACCGGAATTGAAAACTTTCAAGAGCCATCCAGCTCTTGCTAGCACTGCAAATGTCTACGTGCGTTAACAAGTCCCCGGTCCACCTCTAGGACACGTGTTGACGAATGGCCTCTAGTTCACAATACTGATTCCTTGGATTCAGGGTCTGCTGTACTGGTTGTGTTGGAGACTTGGTTTTTGTGGGTTACCAAAGGCGATGTTTCCTCTTCAGACTTGCTATTAGCAACTGCTTCTACGTTGACTTCCTTTAGCTCCTGCTCTTTGTCTTTCTTTTCTTTTTCATTCAGGTAATTGAGGATGCCCGCTCCTAAGGCATCCCCTTCCACATTCACAACTGTGGTGGTTCGGTCCCTGGTTAAGATCAGAAACAAAAAACAAAGCAGCAGGCTTTTAGCTTAACAGAGTTAAAACACAATAAGGGGAGCTGATTCACCCGTGCTGATCCACTAACATCAGTGGAGCTAAACAAGGAAGATGTTGTTACCATAGGTATTTTTCCCAGAAGTATCATCACCATTTCAGAGCTAAAAATGTGCACTGGAGCTGGTTTAAGGTCGGCACAACTGTTACTATCAACTGGTTCTGGTGAGTTGCAGCAATTGTACTACTATTTCTCATGCCTCTTTCTTTTCCCAGCCCACCTCCTCCCTCTTTGCCTTCCCCAGACTAATGTTTTTCAAATGTGAGTTCAGAGCAGGATCTTAATTTGGGCTTATCCAGAAGGTGACTCAGAGCACTCAGCTCTCTTTTTTAACTACAGAGACTCATACCTTGACTTAACACTTACTTAAGAAATCCTTCCAAAAGCAGGAAGAATGACTGTGTTCCCCGGTTTTGTTGCTAGCAGCACCTATCCTAATCTTCGGTCCTACAACACAAAACTGTCACAGGGTCTAATGGAGGAGGTTTATGGGTCATAAAAAACAACTTCTACATGTGACTTCTGAGACTTCTGTTAAGTCATTCTGCAGCCTAACTTCAACTTGTTCTCAACTTGTAACTGTGGTCCTCTCTGGTAATTAAATGGCATTAAAATTAAACTTTTAAATTAAAATTTTAAATTAAAATTTAAACTACAACAGAGGAGGTTTGACTGGCATTAGGAAAAAAATTTTCACAGAAAGAGCAGTCAGACAGTGGAATAGGCTGCCCAGAGAGGTCGTGGAGTCACCATCCCTGGACATGTTTAAGGATCATTTAGATGAGATGTTGGGAGACATGGTGTAGGGGAGAACTTTGTAGAACAGGACTGATGGTTGGACTCGATGATCCCAAGGGTCCTTTCCAACCTGAATGATTCTGTGATTCTGTGAAAACAGGACACAGGACTCTTCTCTCCCTCCTTCCCCCTTTTGTTATCACAAGGCTGAGTTCCTTGACTACAACAACAGTGTTGACCACAGAGGGATGCTACATATTTTGAAATGAAGGCAACCAGCACGACACAGGCTGAAAGGAAGCCTGGACAGAGTGAAAGGAAGGGCAAGCTTTTCCCTCTTGCCTCCAAGCATTTGCAAGTACAGTTTGTGGAACACATAGCTACTACTTTAATCCCTTAGGAAAACTGGATACAAAGGGCTAGCTACTGCTTTGCCTGTCTCTCCTGTCCTTTGAAGGTGGCTGATCCCCAAAAGTGACAGCAAGAAAGAGTTCAATGGCCCTAATGAAGCTGTAGGAATGATTATGCTCCACAGACACGTGTGGTGTGGGAAGGGAAGGAGCTGCTGCCTTCCCCAGCCTCTGGAATTCAACAGTGTCCTCAGGCATCCTAATTTCCACATCTGCTGTGGAAGTACGCCATCTATACAGAGAGGCTGGTGTTTCCAAAAAGCAATGCAGAGGGATTATGTACAGTCTACATCAGGAACTGCCCAGAAACCCACCAACCGGGAAAAAACCCCAATAGGATCAGCTCGATTGACCCGTACTGACCAGTTATTTCAACCCTCTATACAACTTCAACCAGATGGCTTGAAAGCAGATTACACTTTTAAATTATCAGATCATGCTTACTTCACTAGCATTTAAACTCTAACCATGCTGTAATTCATGAGTGCTCAGAGAAGTCCTTCCAGTTTGATTTTTTAGTATTTGAAGAACAGCAGCCAGACAGGCTTGTTTCAAGAAAGTGGAGAAACCCTTTTCCACAGGGCTTATCTAAGCTATAAGAAATCACCAGCATGTGGCATTTACAGTTGTGCACTTGTAGCTGGGTCCCCAGTACTTAAAGCAAACCAAACTTTTTAGGCTTTCCTTAATCTAGGTGGTACAGAAGGTAAATTTAGGCCTTAGCAAGGACACTACTATGCTAAGTGGTGAGACAAGCTCCTCCAAACAGAGCTGGGCAAGGAGATAATCTCTTCAAAAGAGAAGCTGAGCAAAGGTCTGACCTCTTATCTCTTTCCCAGAAAATGGAAATGAAAGGTGGTAATACTATGTACTAAACTTGTGATTCCCAGCAGCATGTTCCTCTAGCTGTGACACTGCCCAGAGCTGTGATGAGTGCTACAAATCCTCTCTGTCCCTGCCCTGCCAATGGACGGCACCTCTCCATGATGCTTCTGTTGGTGCTTTGACCAGTCTCGAACCATAAAAATAGTTCAAACAATAGCTGACAACAGCTTCTGATGGAGACTGCTTCTCACATGCGACCAAGAAAGCTTTCCACCACTACTGAGACTCAATTTCCTTTTTCCCCCTTCCCTCCTAGTGTCCAACTAATTCCCAGCAATACCAACACCTTCTGAACAAACTTTTAAAATAAATCCTTCTAAAGGGAATTGAAACCAGGAAGAAATATGTTTCAATAAAGGCTGTGTAAAAATGCTGAAGAGGGATTTTAGCATACTAACTGCTTTAATTGAGAAGACCTTTTCTATTATCGATCAAGAATTACCTATCTTGTAAAGTTTTATTGTATACCACGCTACTTTGACTACCCTGCCCCATGATTCCATGTGAACACACTACATACCATGCAACAGCAGTACACAGGGTCTAAAGTACTTACACAATCCAGTCCACTGCTAATATCAAGGAGAGATCGTTGGTCGGAAGTCCAATGGCCTCCAGGATGATAGCGATGGTGAGGACTCCCCCAGCTGGGACCCCAGCTGCACCCACGCTGGATGCGGTAGCTGTCACGCTGCAAATCAATTTGCATACCCAGTTAGCAGGAGCTCTGCAGCGCTCCTCTTCTACGCTGACGTCACACCTTTCCCCACTATGGGAACTGTAAACAAACTCTACAGCATGGGACACACAGATGATTTGCTTCCCAGGCAAACACTTTCCAGCCTGCTGATGCAGAGTAATAGGTACAGAGCTCAGCTGCTCAGCAGGCATCCACAGCAGCTACCAAGGCAATGGCTCTCTGTTTAACACCACAATTGCCTTTTCAGAAGTAAAAACAACCAACAAAACTATATCCTGCTGCCTTACTCATCTATCCATTTCCAAGTCATGTATCAGTTCAAATATTCTGAGTACATTACATCTTCTGGCCCCAACTGTATAAAGGTAATAAAGCTTTGCCATGCAAGGTACCATCCCTTCTCTGTGTCTCATTTGCATTCAAACACAGACCCTAAATCAGGAGCTGGAAAACTGTGGTGCATGTGCTACAGACATGGACCACACACCTTTTTGTATGCACATGTCTACAACTGAGTTTTCCTTGGGCTATCACTACATAATACTCAGGCCTGTGTTAACACTTGATTCACTAAGAGTACCTGGAAGGCTAATTTGGCCATCCACAAAGAAAATAATGCTCCAGCCCTGCCTCAAATAGACAAATGATGTAGTGGAAAATGCAATAAGGGAATAAAACCTGGCAAGGGATGGTAAAAAAATCCCAGGAACCAGCCCTAGGAGTCATCTGGTGGATACAGCTATGGCTTCTCAGCACAGTGAGGGGCTAGAGCTCCCTGTAGGATACTCACTTAAGGGATTTTGAGGAGGGAAATGGAGACAATGACCTTTCATGGGATATGGGACGTGGGAGGATATTCCAGGCATGGAGGAGAGTTCGTTCTAGAGAAGGAGACAGGACTGAGGTAGTGGAGGTGAATGATAATGGGTCTGACCTGAGAAGCCAGTGATGAAACGGTAGGAAGGGCAGAGATAAGCAGAAGCAGAGTATTTAGTATGAAATTGATATGTAAGGAACTAAGAAGCTGGTAGGAAGATTTTCTAAGACATCAAGAGGTGGAATCAGGGGTAGCTTTCTGGGCAGTGTAGCATGCCTCAATTACACAGCTTAATGGCAAGTGGAGGGTGGAGGAGTGAGATGCTTAAGTAGGGAAAGGAATTTCATGTGGGAAACAGCTTTAAACAGCTCAAAGTCTGTTCCAAAATTCAATTACCCCTCCCAGCTTCCACCTTTCATTAAATTGAGATTCTGGCAAATCTTATAAAGCTTTAAAGACTCCATCATTTAATCACCCTATAATTATGTTTCATAGCAGTCTGCAAGCTTTAGGTCAGAGATGTGGAATGCAAACTGCTAGCTATTAACAGAGAGACCACAGGCTTGAATGTGTCTGGGGGCCAGAAGGATGTGGTTGTAATAGCAAGCAACTTACAGAATTGTGAAGATTTGCCCAGGGTTGAGGTCAACATTGTTCAGCTGAGCAATAAACACAGCTGCCATGCACTGAAAAATAGCAGCTCCATCCATGTTTACAGTCGCCCCGATAGGAAGGATAAACCTGCTGATCCTCTTGTCGACTCCATTGTTCTCCTCAATACACTTGATCATCGATGGGAGAGTGGCTGAGCTAGAAACAGAATAGGGGAAAAAATCAAACACAAAGCATCAGGGTGCACTGAATGGAATGTCACTCTCATGGCTTTCATGTTTCTAACACGCCGCAGACAGGACTGTCAAGACAATAGTGCCATTTTATAGTCCCTCTCTGTCATAACAGCAATGAAAGACCCTCCTTGTTGGTCTTGAGCAGCAGTATTTAATAATCTGCTTCCATCCAGAAATGGTTGATAAGAACTCTCATCTCCCAGAAGCAAGAACTTATGACTTAACACAGTATGCAGCCTAACAGGGCTGTGGAATGATCAGATCACAAAAATACACCAATAGATGCCAATACAGACACAACAGCAATCTCTTGTTAATGTTGTATTAGTACCTTCTCACATGAACAGACAAATTAAAAAAAATTAAAATCACTACTGGATTTATTTATTTTATTATAAATTACGTGGTTTTATTCATAAACCCTCTCCTACTTCATGTACTTCAGCTCCTGTGACAGATATGCATCTACTTTTGGAGATGACCTGAAATAATTTTATACAGTTATGATATTTGATCAGGTGTTTGACCCTTGAGAAAAGTGTAAATTACATGCTTGACAGTTTGGCTATGACAAATGTAAGCTGATCAAGCCAGATCTTTGAAATCAATAATGTTAAGTCCCTTTACACTAGCTAATAAGTCTGCTTTGCTCCTGCAGAACTAGTCTAAACTTGTTCCAGATCCTTCTGAACTTGGAGAACTAAACTTCTCAGGACAAAGTCCCTCACTATTGACCATCACTTTACTTAAAATTGAAAGGACAGCTGGCAGGATCTTTTTAAGGTAAATACTTTCACATTTTCTCAAAAAAATTTCCAACTTGGCATCATGCTACCATCTCAATAATTTGAGGAACTGATAATTAGCTGCTGAACACAGTATGTGCTGCATGGCAGGCTGCTGACAGCAGTGAGACTCTCTGTGCTCAGAAGTCTCTTTTTGCAATCTCAGGAACAATATTCACACCTAAAACTCAACACAATTTGGTGTTAGGGTATAACCAGTCTACAGCAACAAATATAACCAGGCTATAATCCCAAAAGAAGCACAGAAACCCACCTGGAGCAAGTGGCAAAAGCAGTGGCAAGTGGTGTGATAAGTCCTAAGAGAAAACGATAGGGATTTTGACGTGTGGATGCAAAATAAATAAGCGGCAGAATGATTCCTCCATGGATGAAGTGGCCCAGAATAGAGGCGAAGATGTATTTTCCCAGGCTAGTCACCAGAAGCACAATATCTTCCATTTCCACAATCTTGCTCCCAACAAGGAACATAATGCCAATAGGTACATACCTGTGTAAAGAGATGTTGCTTGTCATTAAGTACAAACAAAAAGCCTTGACAAATATGTCATCTTTTGTTCTGGACATAACATTCTTCTAAAGAATATGCTGTTCCTACTGAAGGATAGTGCCTTATTCACCACACACTCATGTTAAGCAAATCTGGAAGGCCTCTCTAACACTCTTGCTTGGTGGCGGGCAAGCAGTGAAACAGAAAAAGCTCTGTTCACCTAGGCCCTCAAAGAGGCAGCTAGGAGAGTGCCGAAGAAAAGCCAAGAGGGAAGCAGAAATGCTGGCAGAAACTATCAGGACAAGACACCAGTGTGGAGTTTTAGTCCATCAGGGAGGAAGGCAGGCAAAGACCTAAAGCTAAAGTCACTGCTGAAGGATGACAGACGGTAGGAAAGAAAAAGGAGCAGTATCATGTCACTGGAGCAGAGGAAGGGGTGGAAGAGCAGGATCTCACACATGTGGTGACTACCAGCAGAAGTATGAAGTTGGATCATTAAAATGGTAGACATACTGAGTGCCAACATATTCAGTGTAGGAAAGAAAAACCTATGCCCATACCAGAAAGCTCAGCAAGGCCGCTGATGCATGTGCCAAAGATAGCAATTAACTCTGCTATTTGTCTGTGAAAGACCAAGTTAAATGATCAGGCTTCCAGAGCTTCCCTCAACCAACAGCCACATACACGTACATTCCCATGCCTCCTATCTAGAAACATGCCACGTCTTAGGATGTCAGCATTTGTTTGAGGTTTCCTTTGTCAGGAACACTTTGAGCTGCTCCAAGGGAAGGGCCACCTGCGGGCCACAGCCACACCTCCTGTCCCAGTAGTGCAGCTGGCAACAGCCCTGAAAAGACAGAATTGCCGTTGTACCTACAGCACCAACAGCTACTAAATGAACTGCAGGAATCACTTCAGGTGCAGGGTCAGTTCCTCCAAATGTCTACTTGGGATGTCTGTGTCTGAGTACCTCTGCTGATGCTGTACATGCTCCATCCATTTCTGCTTCTAAGACTATGAAATACTAAAGGATCACCCAGCTCTCCAAAACCCTGCCCCAGGCACAACATGTAACTACAAAAGATCTGCCTATACATCTCAGGAATAAAGAAGGTTTTTTCTCCCACTCTCCCCTCTAATCCAATGCCCATGTTCAGAGAAGCTGATCAGTGGAGTCAGGACAAACTTCAGAAGGTTTGGTTAAGCATGCAAAAGTTTGGAAAGGTGAGCAAGCCTTAAGGTTGCCCAGATCACTCACTTCTTCGTAGCCTGCCTCTCTCTTAGTGGTTCTGCAGCTCTGTTCTGTGCAGAGAGCACCTCCTTATGCCCCAGATCAATGTAAGCATCCTCTCTCCGTCCTCCTTTGGTGAGACCTCTAGGGGGGCCTGCTGAAACTTCCCCACATAGCCTCTGCCAATTCTGCAACATACTGCCTTTGAACTACGTTTCTGAGCACCCCGATTGGCCACATCTAGCTGAGCCCCAGTGCTGCATAAGCTCTGCAAACATGAATGCTCGATTCAAAAATGAGACTGCATCCCTCCCCTTGAAGAGGGAGGCTGAAGAGGAAGGAATTGAAAGTTGAGACCAAAGTGCTGCTAAACATGAGAGTAGTTGTTGAATGGGACTAGGTATGAGCTCAAGCTGCCTTTTTCCTTGATAGTATGATTTCACCCATTCAGAAGTATCCTTTGGGAAGTACATGCAGCTTGACAGATTCTGAATAAATACCAGGATGACACAAGAGCCTTAAGGAAGGAAAGAGAACAAGTAAGGGCTATGGTGCACTGCAGTGTTAAAAGTCAGCTACGGTCCTGATAATCCACAAAGTAAAGGATTATATACCGACTGATTGGCTTGAAGTGTAAGCACTGTAATCAGCTGAATACAAGAACTGCCTCTTATCAGTATTCAGTGTCCAAGGAATTACACTCAAGAGTAGAAGACTTAAGCTGCTTTGAGACTGAATTTTTCAATCCCTTATGACAGCAACTAACACAGAGATCTGCCTGTGTAAAATCAGGTGTTTTCTTAAAACCCTTCTACTTTTTGGAGGGAGGAAAATAGTAGGAATGACAAATGCATAATGAAGGGAGAAAAAATACCTGTGCTTATAGCTTTTCCAACAGCCTTGGAAAGGGAATGAGAAATGTCCCACTGTCAATTTGTTAGCTAGCCGTCCTTATAAATATTTTTATTTTTGCTGCTCTGAGGCCCAGATTCACCCTACCTGATAGAAAACCCAGCCAGGAAGCTGGTCCTACCCCAGCTTAGGTAGCCTGAACCGCTCTCTAGAGGTGCCTGCCTCCTCCAATGCTTTTTTTTCGCCTAGTGAGAAAGTTCAGTGTGCTCCAGGTCCCAACATACAGAATTTTTTTTGGTGCCCAAAGCTTTGTGAGATCAGTCAGAGCAAATATGTCTGGACTCCAGGGAAGCAAGTGAAATAATGGATTTGGTCATTAATAGGCAGGACACAAAATAAACAATGAACCTTAGGAAATACCTACTCTCCTGGATGTGAAATGGAAAAGATAAGCATCTCTGGAGAAGCAAGTACAAACAAGAAAACAGTTGATCGCTCTGATAGTAACATTAGTTACTGCTTCACACAAGGATATGAAAGAGATCTTAGAAGAGAAACAGAGATTTAAAGATCCACTGTATAACCCAGGCTCTGCTAAGAACAATGACAAACCACTCAATAGCCAGCACTACTGTTTCAGTAGGATGGAAAGCATAGCCCTGGAGACTGTTCCTCCCTTCTGTTCAAAGGGATATAGGTTCTCTATCGCCCTTTGATGCAAGTGGACAGATGGGGCTCTGTATTCATGCACTCAGCAGGGTTTCTCTCAAAGAAATACCAGTGAGTGGGCTTCTTCAGATGTCCTTGGCTATCTTTCAGATCAGCAGAAGTAAACTTCTGACCAACAGAAAAATCAAAGCTAAAAAAAACCCCCACACATCAAGCTACAAGTATGATTTCAGTTACTCACTGCATTTGCACGTGCACTCCAAGCACAAACATCCCTGGCCTTCACATGACCATATTCCTCACTTGCTCACATTCCCTTTATTAATTGAAGGCCAGTGCCTTGAGGTTCATGACGGCAGCTAGCCATGGGCTTATGCTGCTTTGAAATAGAAAGCTTCTTTTCCACTAATTAATCAAAAATTAATTAGAAGTCCTGAAGAACCCTCTGAGGTGTTCCAGACTGATAACTTAAGCTACATGTAACTGTCTAATTAAAAGGCACAAGCAGGAAGACCCCATCGTATGACAACATGACATACACTTTTGCTGTGATAAGGGATCTGGTAGGAAAAAGCTGGAGAAATGGACAAACAGTGAGATTCCTGAACTGAGCATAATATTGTACCTGTCACACACTTACCACATAATCCAGGAAACCAAGACCATAGTTGCCTCATTGAATGAATTAAAGAAGCGAATCAGATCTTCCCCTTCCTGGCCAAGCTTTTTCAGTGCCACTCCTAAAACCAGAGCAAACAGCACCAGTCCCAGGATATTCATCCCTTCAATCTCAGTACCAACAGGGATCTGTAAAGGAAAAAAAAAAAAGGCTTGTTAGATGCGAGACCAGAACAAAACCCAACAAGAGGGTCACCTCATTTTGTGGCTGCCCGACTGATTTGAAATCAACAAGCAGAACCTCTTTTGGGAAAGAAGAACCTATTTTCTTGAAGGGAACCAAACCAGATCTGGACACAGTTCAGATACAAACCTCCTTCGTTATGAGCTGGCATGGATTCACTGGAGAAGGGCCTGCCACTACCTCCCCTCATGCCCTTCAACATGATACGTGTGCTCTCAGTGACCTGAAGAGCAAACTTCTCCATTTTACTCAGGACAAGCTCCACTGCAGATGCAAAGCAGCACAGACATGAATCACACATGTGCAGTTAAAAGACTGAAACTTTCATCCTTGTTTTACCGTGAGGGAAGATAGGTGTGGGAGAGTCCACAGGTATAAATGGCAGATACTGGTGACATCCTAGCTCTGCTTATTCCACCAAGCATCATTTGCTGTTGGCACTATTATATTCTACATCCTAAACAAATCATACCTGCAAGAGGCTTGCAGTGGTCTGGCCCTAAATATACTTTTATGGGAATCTGCTCTCAGAAACTGCCAGCTCCCTTGCTTGAGTACAATATTTATACCAAGGTGAAAACCACAAAAAATCAACCAATGTTATGAAGCAGAAAGCAGGGAGGGGGGCAGAGAAAGGTAGCAAACCATGGAAACCTACTCATTCATCTGTTCATGTCAGCTTTGTGAGATACAGAGAGAACAGAAGAAATACCTGTTCCCCTTCTCAGAAACCATGTGGCTGTGTGATAGAAGTAAGAGGATAAAAACAGGATACACCTATCGACAAAAACTAGTCGTCTTGTAAGTCTCCTCTGCTGGTCCTTCATGGTTTGTTTCCCAAAGAGAGCTGAACCTTGTTTGGCAATGTAGTATCATATGAACTGAATGAGTGTTCTTGTGGCTACGTAAAAATATAATTGTTTTGACAAACTGGGTTTTTTTTCCCCCCCAACTTGGCAGTACAAGCTTAACATGTGTAATATTTGTTTTATTTGGAAGGGCTTCTTAAACAGATTAGGTTTGTGTACAAGTTTTGGCCTTCTGGCTAGTTTAAGCAGACACTAGCTCAACACTAGGAAAGAAAAATATATTCTGAGCTAAAAGCTTGAAATTAGTATTGACTAAAGAACTTGGGATACTGATCTGTTAAATCTGATAAAACCAGACTGCTTGAAATGGTATTTTTACTGGAAGTATACTGCTGAACTGCACTGTCTCTTAGCAGCAGGTAGAAACAAAGTACTGCAGGGAAGGGGATAAAACACAAATTATAGACAAAAGCATGAAAGCTAAACTGCTGTTAACAAAAGTGTTTACAAACAGTGGAGGTCTGGCTTTTTTTATTTGCTAGGTACAAAATAATTACATACAGGATCTGCAATTTTTTTTCATGGTAGCTGCTTGTTCAGGGCTAAATTGTCAGTATTTATCTGATTTCTAACTGAAAGAATTGAAAACATGCACAGTATATTAAGAATGGCATCTCCATCTTCAGGCATCTCCAGAGATGTCTGAAGAAATGTGCTGTTTTCTCCACGCACGGTAACACTTTTCTCTTTGGATAGTTTTGTGTGTTGTTTGGTATGCCTGAAAGCCCTAAACTCTTCTGCGATTAGAAAAGTTAGGCAAAAAAATTACACCCTCCCATTAACTGAATAAATTGTGTGTGTACATGGCATGCACACATTTTTCTATTTTCCATTTCTGTTGTTAAACATAGGGAGATAAAGTTTACAATAAGGCTGAAGGGAATCTAACAAAATTTCAGTGACAATTTATCAGCAACAATGTACAAATCGATGTATGAGTCTCAAATTCTATGACTAATTTATTAGCAGGAAGAAAGTAAATGGGTAAATGGGTAAAATAGTGTAGCCATGTCACATCATCAAAAACCAAAGCTCTGTCTGGGAAATGTCAACTTGGGTCAATATGTGAACATTTTTACACCAGAAAAGAAACACTTACTTCATTCACGTGGAGTAAATGCAACACTTTTTCACTTTGACACAACTTTTCATCTTGTGGTTAGTTTTATTTTTCCAACTTGTTATATTATAACATCCTATATGGGGTTCATTTGATACAAGGCTAATACGAAAAGTTCAGCTTGGAACAGAATTTTACTATAACCAGCCCAAACTTTTTCCAAAGTAAAAATATCCTAAAAACATTGATCTTTTGTATAGGTTCTCATTCAGAAAGAAATAAACATCAAACTTTGCTATGGAACAGAAATTCATTGTTTCAAGCTGCTGAAAGCACCCAGAATCCTGACCTGGATGTAACTGGGAGGGAATTTCATTATACTACTTTATACCAATGTTTTGCAAAGAATGTCCATCCTTTAAACTCCTACCAGAGATTTGTTTCTCAACTCATTAAATGCAGTGGTGTGAGCCTGAAGCCCAGCAACCTTCTACTGTTTGGGCTTCTCGGAGGTCCAGCCTCAGGAGAGAGACCTAAGTGTACTGAACCTGTAAGAGGATTGGTTCAGCTTCCCACCAGCTGTGTAGTGCACACAGGGTCACAGAGCAGGACAGAGTTCAGGAGGCACACAGGAGAATCAGGGCCTGAGCTCCTAATGATTAATTTGGAAGGACACTTCCCTGACTAGAGAAGTCCAAGGCTCTTCTAGGTCATTCAATCCCCACAAGCATCCACCTTCTTTGGAGCCATGGGTGCCAAAGGTTTGCCAGACTTTGTTCTTGGAAAGCTAGAGGAGGGCAAGAGATAGTAGCATCCCCAGTTAGCTACAGCCCCAACACAGGTGGCTTCTTACCTTTTGTCTTAACCTTCAAAGTGGCCTACTGTGCATAAATTGGTCAATTCTCCTTGAACTCCCCTAAGCCTCTCCAGAATAACAATACATGGACTTTAGTCTTCTTTCACCCTCGGAGATGTCTCTCTACACCTTGCTCCAGGTATTGCGATCACTGCTGTTGCTGTTCTCCAAGTGCTCACACTTACTAGTCCTTCAAGCCTAGGCCTTGTGATCTGGGGACCCCTGAATTCTTGGTGACTGGAGGTAGGACTCTGTGTACAGCCACCAAAAACGTCTTTGCCATTTCCCTCTGTTCACTGCCATCCTGTCCATGCTTTCATGTCCTGTTCTCCCTTTCTCCCTCGACCCAATTTCTTTACAACACAAAATATTCACCATTGCCTTCCATCACTGCAGATGTAGGCAGAAGGTGCATCGTTTGCATGGAGTAGTAACTTACTGCAAAAAATCATTCCCCTCAAATCAAGGGGACAATGTGCAGCATTCAGGGAATTTCACTTCCTTGCAGCACAATATGCAAAGAGTCCAGCAATAAATCCTCAGTGGAAGATCCTCTCAATCCCAGTCTCTAAAACTGGCAGATGCTGAACAGCCTTTTTGTACTCTAACAGAAGAGTGCATCACCCCAAAGGAGCTGCCAAACCAAGCAGCATTGTGGACACCAAACAAAAACAGCTTTAATGAGAGGTTCCTGGATAAACTATGGGACGCATTATTGTTTGCTTGAAATTATGTGTTCTGGTAGGAAGATTCATGGAGCTCTTCCGGTCCTTGAATCTCTCTGAAGATCCCATTGTTTTAAAGCTCTTGAAACAAAATGCTTATCAAGGAAACAACTGCTGACATTGAGCTGTCCCAGTAGTAGGTGGCTGAAAAGAAAAGGCAGCCACGTGATGTGAGGAAGAAGAGCAATCACCGGTTTGTGTATTTTTACTGCTGCCACAAGAGGAACTCACGAGTCCCCCCAAGGCCTCCCTGCGCTGCAGATGGGGAACTGAGATAGTCGGTGCCCCAGGACGCCTTGCTGATGAAGAGACAGAGAGGATGTGGCCATAAAAGCTAGGTAAACACGAAGGGAGCATGTGAAACAACAAAAAGGACGTGGCTGAGCAGACATCTATGTGCCCCACTATTCATATCATCAGTGAGAGAAGACAGGACCTATTAAGCAGTGGTGGGTGCAGGGGAAAATATAATCAATGGAAAGTTTTGCTCTATGCTGTTCATATGGAAAGTAGAAGGAAAACATTTCTCCAATCAAATATTCTACTGATGAAAGAAAACATTAGATATGAATATCATCTTCTTTCCCTGGAATTCAACTTACATTGATGTGATATTTATACTACATATTATCCAAAAATCATACTCTTTCTTTCCAAACTTATTCATCTACCCATAAATAATGTGGTCAGACCAGTACTGAAACTGAGCTAACAAAACTGAGATGATGCTTTCTTTTTATTTGGTCCGCTTTTCTCTAGAGACAGTAGGGCATCTTCTGGAATTAAAGCAGCTCAGCCCTGGTTTTGCTTCAACAACTGCAGAAAAGTTTTGGAAAAGTAATAGCCGAAATAACCTTTACATCATAACCACTGGCAAAAACAAAAGACACCAGTGACAATTTCAGAGTACTTTTTCTGATGTTGCATCAAACAAGTCTGATAAGTGGGAAAAGGAAAGAAGAAAACTGAAAAAGAATCTCATGTTTTAAATTGCTAAAAGATGCATTCTTATCTCTTGAGGAAGAGTGAGGGCTTTGAACAAGCATTTAAAAAGTACTTGACAGCCAAGCTTATGTCCAGGGCATATGGTTGGCCCTGATCGTTGCTTGGTTGCCAAGGAGCCCCTATCAAACTTGACACTGAAGATGAAGAAGAGTCTTACTCACCTTTCATTTACCCCCTGCTTAAATGAAGAATAACTCCACACTCTGTAAGCAAACACATGTGTCTAAGTGCACATTGTTACAGCCTTTCATACTGAACTTGTTTTTTAGCTGCACTGAACTTGTTTTTTAGCTGTACTGCCCGAGGATATAATGGCTGAGAAGAGAAAGTGCTCTTTTGGGATCACATGGCCCTTGGGCAGTCATTGCCACACACCCGTGTCAGATGGGGTCAGTGCAGATCTGGGTTAATGCAATCTTACAGGCATGGGCAGAGCCTGGGCAGATGGGGCTGCCTTCTTCCCCAGTGAAACCGCTCACCATGCGATAGCCAGCTTCCAGGCAAGGGCTGACTTTTCCCCTGCTCAGTTCCTGTGCCATCCAAGTCACCTGTCACCCTGCCTTTCGGGGCTGGTGAAAGTCCAGCCCATCAGCTGAAAGCAGAGTTCAGAAACACATTGTTCTGCATCACCTGCTCAAGCACCATGCGTGGCGAGGAGGAGGTAACGAGGCCAGTACTTCCTGTGCTCACAGATACGCTTCAGAGACCCTCTGCATGAGCAGAAACTGCTTTTTCCTCAATGGTTTTACAAAGTGGTGGGCAAGCCCCTGCTGAGTCCTTACTCAAAATATGTGTCTCTTGCCCTAGAGGCAGTCAAATCATATTAAAAATATAGTAACCCAACATTCAATACTGATCTGATAGTCAGAATGAGCCTGAGAAATAGAAAATAATCCCAAAAATAATTTCCAGTCTCAGACCTGTCTCCTCAAAATCCCATGGAAGCACATGAGATACTTCATTTGGAGTGAGGTGAGACATCACAGGCTGGGATACTGGGTCTGTTTCACAGCATGCTGCCTGCAAGACAACAGTAATTACTGCTGGACCTGCAGTATGTTGGCTCTTGGCAATAATAAAGATGTTTGATAGCCCTGTGCTGCAGGAGAGATGCCACTCAACAGGATGCAGAGCACCTCTGGAAGTCCTACAAGATACTTATGAAAGATAACACTCTACCTAAGCTACACCTGCAAATTAGTTTCCTTTTTGACACCACTGCAATAGCAGCCTATTTGTAATGTTCTGTCTATAATTTTTACTCCTTCTGACCACTTGTTACTGCTTCAAACAAAATTTCAGCAGTATGGCAGCAAGAAAAAACTTTCAACTAACCTCTATTTTTTTTTAAAAAGAGCCTTGGGTAGTGAAAAAAAAGCTCATTCTCTCCAAACTGTTAATGAAGAGTAAGGTTTAAGGGACATATTCAGCCAGCCTGACTGCTATTTAATTCCAAGTCTACAGAAAGTTATTCAGAAACATGAGGAAGAGTGACTAATAAAAAATCAGATCAAGTGAGACCAGATCTAAGAAATCATGGCCTAAAAATAAGGTCTCAAGGGTCAGATCATTTGAGCCCAACTATCCTATCCATTGTAACTTTCTTGTGTGGCTGGGGGTAACTCATCTGGCTTGTGCGTGTCTCAGTTCTAGGCAAAGAAAAGTACTTGTTTCTTTTCAACGACTGGACAGGATTAAAGACTGTGAAGTAGTCAAATATTATAGTTGGCAACGGTTTGTATAAAAACCTAAGAAGTGACCTTACCTTTTCCCACGTGACATTTCCAGAGGTAGTGTTTCTGAGCAGCATCTTATATTCTGTTGCATACTGAGGGTAAGAAAAAAAAAAAAGAACAAACAAACAAAATCACAATGTTTGCTGATCAGATTGTCAATATGACCACACCATCTAGCATTTCACAAGGAGATTACTGTTAGGAAGCTTTTGTCTGGAGACCATACTGTGCAGGCTAACGAGCCTGTCCTGTGCAAGAAAAGGGAGTGACAGCACATGCAGCTCCTTCCCTATGTGGCAACAGGGAAGTGGTCTATGACCTCGGCTCCCAGGTTTGGGCAGCAGCTGATGAAATTCCCTGTTCCTGCACTCTGTTGCTCGCACACCATGCTGTCACACTGGCTCCTGCAGAAGGCACTTGCGCCGTTTCACTGTCAGAAATGGTAAGGCAGGCATTAAAATTGCCAGTAAAATATCTAAAATCTAGGGCAACAGTTTGCTTTGATAAATAAGCTAGACACCTCCCAAAAGTGGGGCACTTTGTGCTTGTTTTTTTTAAACATGAAATGGGGAATAGAGAAGCTTATGTACTTGCCAATTACCTGTGACAACAGTGGCACAGAGTAAAGGAGGACTTATTTATTTAATCCCTGAACATACAGAACCCTGACACTTGAGGTATCACAGAATATCCTTTTCTTAATGATATTTTTGTGCTGCTCCTATTTTTATTTATGGCATACTGACTTGTACTATATTATATATACACACAAAATGGAATGTGATTTTAAGAGTTTGACCTCGATTTTGATACAAAAGCAAACCCACAGAATACCATGAAGGCAAAAGCTATTATTCTGCTCCTGTATCGTAAAGACTCACTCTGCTGCAGAGCAATATTCTCAACAGTGTCTTATCCCCAACATCTAAAATTAGCGATAAGAACTAAGCAAAATCTTCTTAGACCCCCACAGTTCCTGTCCATCAGTTTAAACCACAGTGTGTTCTGGTGCCAGTTATCATCCTACCATGCTTAGTTCTCTGTCGGAAGAGAAGCCAGGCTGAGCAATTAATCTAGCAAGGGAAAATACTGAATAAAAGCATCAGGCAACAGGTAATGCTTACACACATGGGAGACTAAAAGTCTTCAGCCTTGTGTGTTCTGAGCCCAGCTCCAAGCTACATACCCAATGGTTTTCCAGCTAGCTCCTGCAAAGTGATAAGCAGCCTGGCACAGAGCAGAGTTGACACTGCTGCCTAACACAGCAGCCAAAGTATACGAGTTTAAAGAACAACTTTGGTGGAGGTGCTAAACATAGGCTATGAATATACTTTTCTTGAGGAGTATTTTTCAAAATCAAACCCTTTACCATGGAAGTTGTATGCCTGATTATATCAGGTGCTTTTAAAAATCCCACTTACTGTAAGTAAATAAACTTTTGGTATTTTCTATATCATCTTTCTAGTCCTTCTTCAAAAAGGAGCAGTCACTTTGTCTGTGCACTGTAGCTCATGTCCAAAGCCCACACATATCTTACCGTTCGGAAAGCTGCAGCAACAAGATTTGCAGGAAACAGGTTTCTGTAAAATACAAACAAGAAAATGACATCTTTCTTGTAGAACTTCTAAAACAAATGCACCAAAGTGTTGTACTATCAGAAACTGAATTCCTTTTGCAAAGGCAAGCATATTGGCATGAGTGAGGTACAGAAGATCCTATGGCAGCACAGAGCAGGTGTCTTGCTACATCTCCAGACCTGTGAATGCCATCATCTTTCGCTCACATAAAAAGGTCCCTGCTTGTCTGCCACACCTAACCATTTGGGTGGGGTCACCAGAGGCAATCTAACAGGATGCTAGTTATACACACCTATCAGTCAGTGGCTACAAAAACTGGCTTAGCCACACCATCTGCAGCAACAGTTCGTGGCCTCCAGGGTCAGGCAGATTTTTAACATTACTCATGTGATTACATTTTGCTCACAGCATCAACATGAAGGACAATCCAATCAGCAAAATCTACTTAAGAGAACAGCTTAACCCTTCAACACAACAAGGCCAGCTTCCCTGAACGCCGAGGTAAAGCGGAACAACATCATGGGCCAGAGTTGTCTGCAAGGGCTTAAGTGGTTAAACAGCACAGACAAAAGTAAGGACAAATCATACGGAAAGCTGCAACATCTGAATTTGGTAGCGCCTTCGTACAGAAATGCAAATCCAATGCATTAGGTTTGTGTAGAGAGGATAGCATGCAAAGTGACATACGCTTCTACTGAGCATACAGTGTGTATGTGCATCTATGGAGCAACAAGAACAGGAAAAATGGTTAACTGGACCATGTAGGGAAAAAGTTGCTGCTTCTTGTATTTCATAATTGTTTTTAACGCTATACTTCTTTCTCCTCTTATGGTGGGCAAAGAGCATGTGTTCCTCTAGCCAAATGGCAGGTTTTTTTGCTGTGTCAGAAAGCAAAATAGGAATAAAAGGTGATCTCTGGGGTCACAACAGCACCTTAGCTGCTGAGAGCAGGAAGGCTAGGGATACAAACTGAAAACACCGCTAGCCAAATGCATCAAGGAGGCATGGTGACTCTTACCGTAAGGAAAAAAAAAAAAGATTTCACCCAGAGCCAGTTAACTGTGGCAAAAAATATTTGCATAGCTGCTCCCCATCCTTTGCTCCCTGCACTGTTCCAAGGAAGATGCAGCTACCTCCAGGCTGGGCCCTGCTAACCTCCCCCCAGGTTTTTATGTAGTTACTCTGGCAAACACACTTTTTAAACCATGCTTTCAGTTGTGATCATTCCATGGAAAGCACAAATCTGAACCACTGCAAGAAACACAGCAGCAGAGTCAAATATTTGGAAGCAAGAGGGAGATTAAGATATGGCACAGCTAAGGATTTTAGTATTTTGCATTACACAGCTCCTTATCCTGTCACACAGCAATGGCTTTCCCACAGCCTTGACAGCAATTTAAAGTCCATGGACCTTCATCAAACAAGCGGCTCCTGTGCACCACCTCAACTTCTGTTGCATTACAACTCTACTGTGCACTAGGAGGCAGTTGCAAATTGCTGTAAGAATACTTTGGCTTCTGGAGTCTACATTCCACTGAGCATGAAAGGAGTGGCCACTTTTTCTCCGTAAAATTTGATGATATAGCTGTCTGTCTGAAAGTGTAAGAACGAGCTCTAACTCTGCAAAGATGCTTAAGAATTGGTCAAATAAGATCAATGGAACAGCTAATGTTCATCAATTTCTTGCACAGCTGGAACTCTCTGGTGGATAAAAACGTCATATAAAGTGAAAGCAAACTTATTTTTATCAGAAGTCAAACATCACATATACAAATGGGCCCAGTTCAGTGCACAGATTTAACCAAAAAAAAAAAAAAAACCAAAACCATGCCGTTGGGAAAATAAGGATATTTCTCTTCAGCTATTCACAACTGGATAATTTCTTTTTTTTAAACAAATAATTGATTGGATTGTGAAGAAGCAAAGAGAAGAAAAAAAGACTGAAAACCAAACAGAAATCAAATTACTTTTTATTTTAAATCAGCTTTTCCATCCTGATGAAACAAAGCCAAAGGAAGCAGTCCCAAAGCCTAAACAATATGGTTTTCCAATGCTTAAATGTGGCTGAGAAACCAAACCCTCCATAATTTACACAGTATGTCAAGCATGGGCCCCAGTAATTAAACACTAACTTAACTCCAAGCATGTACTTAAAGCACATACTGAAGTGATGCCAGCAGCACTGCTACAGCAAGGGAAGGGGCAGGTTCTTGCTTCAAATGTGAGTAGCACTAAAGCTATTTAAATACGAGCATATAGCAGTCATTCTTCTTTAGCCCTGGAGCACCAGTCACAGGACTTGAAGGACAGCAAAGAGCATTTTTGACAATCCACCAAGTAAAAAATCTGTATCTCAGTTGAGCAGCTCAGAAGGACCTCTGTTTTGTTCAATCCAACTTCTAAGTACACCTGACTGCAAAGTCCCAACAATGCATAAAATAATGTTTTGCTCCTCTTTGTTTCAAATCCTGATGTTTAAATACAAAATGTGTCAGGTCATAAAAAGCAACAAACAAATAAATGGCTTATCTTTAGGGCAAGAGTGCTGCACAGACTACTCTCATTGCTCACTGAAGATCAGTCAGTGTGCGAATTAAATGAAGCTTTAATTAAGGGTGGGTCAGACCACAGGTTTTTACCTTAAGATGGATTTGTGCAAGAACACCATAGCAGCACCTAAAAGAAAAATGGGTCAGGATGCAGCATGCTCCAGGGAGAGTCAGAAGCTGGCTGGTGACCTGCCTGGGCTCACCACATGCTTGAGCCTGCAGGCTTTGCTCATCGTGCACGGTGAGGCAAGTTCACCCACCACAGAAACCCAGGCCGAGCTCTGTCCCTGCGAGCCAGGGTTCACCATGTCCCCAAGCCCAAACAGAGGAGCCACACAGGGAAGTGTGAACATCTCTCCTGTCCGGGTGAAGCACTAAACAGGAAAGCTGATGAGCTGGGTAATTGGGCATGAAAACTAAATATGGGTGTCTGCCAGTTTGTTTTTCCATGCAGACCAAATGTTGAGATTTTTGTGTTTTGAAAGCCTGTGCCAGATGTGAACGTGGAGTTCAAGTCAATCACCATGGTTATACCCCTGGCTTGCTGGCTGTTGCTGCTGTTTCTGATGGCTCCATCCCTGCTGTTGCCATGCTCTGTGGCAGAGAATGCCTTTTTTGAAGTGGAGAGGGACTATCACAAGAGCACACCGCTGAGGAAACCCCAAGTCTGGGTGATACGGAGCCCAGCAAAGGCATCTGGGATCAGGCAGCCTTGGCCCCGATGCAGAGAGATGAAACTTGCTGTATGTGGCAAGAATGAGATAAGCCAGTGACATGTGACATTACAGCAGGAGACCGATGTGCTACGTGCACCCCAGGTGCTCCATGGGGAGGGATGGATTACCCACAGATGGATCCAACCAGTACACAGAGACTTTACTGCCCTCACAGGAAAGTCCCTGACTGTTGCAAGTCATGCAGACAGCCCTTCCCCACCCCAAAAATATCAGAAAACCACTGGACAGCTGTCAAGGGTGACAGCTGTGTCCTGGGGCTGGAATGGCAGATGGGCTGAGCCAGGAAACCTTCACATACCTGCACAACATGCAGTATGAGAAAGCATCTGTCTCGGATACTCTTAAAATAGGCACTAGAAAGCAGCAGCATCAGTTTCAGGGTCTGAATACTTTCTGTCTGAATACTGTACTCACCGTACACAGCTAGATAAATGCAGGTGGTTCTTTCCTCCAGTGGGAATCTGGTCCCACCAGGCAAGAAGGGACCATTACTCCCCTAACCAAATTTAGCAAGAAGGTCTCACTGTGGTTTTGCTGTAAAAGAAATCTTAGTTCAGCTGTAGCATCCAATACTGAGAATCCTAGGTGACTAAGGAAACCAAGAGCTGTAAAGGGAGCAAAAAGGTGCTGTAGCTCCCATCCTTGTCAATTTTGATATTATGGGCAAATTCCTCTCTTCCTTATCCTGTATCTTTCCACCAGCAGGATAAGGATGGCACAGGAACTCCTTTATTACATGTGTAAGGGATTATTATTAGTAACTGTTTCTAAATTATTCTTTTGCCAGAGCTCTGCAAACAACTTTGAGAGCAAAAGCATGAAGGGAAATCCAGGCAAGCAGAATGAAACCCTGAAATACTACACATTCCTCCTGCATTGCTTCTTACAAAAAAGTTCCACTTTTGAGGCCAAGAACTTTGCTGTTGGAAAACATATTTTTGTGAGGAAGCCTAGAAAAAAATACTGTGTTGCATTATCTCCTAGGTGGGTGTTGTGTTTTGGTTTGTTTTTTGGTTTTGGTTTGGTTTGGTTTTTTTTTAAATGAAGTGTTTTCAACAGTAGGAGTCCACTAACAGCAGCTTTATTGCTATATGTGGCAACTTGCTAGAGCCCAGTTCTGATTGCTCCAGTACCTTTATTTTTCTTTCTGTCCCAAGATTTTCATTCAATATCACACAACAATTTTTCTCATCTCTCTTTTGATATGGATGTGGACACACAATACATGCCCTGGGCATAAACATATTTGAGTGAATGCATTTGCTTTAACACAGAAAAACTTGAATATGTGTTTACTTATAGGAGATATCAGGTACTTTGTCTTAACAATCCAGTCTGCCTATTTGTTTCTTGGAAAATAAAACATAACTGGGGAGAGTCAGTAAGTAGTAAAAGGAAATGAATGTAAAGAACAAAAGAAAGGAGACTTTCTAAAAATGCCCACCAGACAGTGTAGGCACATGAATGAAAACACTGAGTTCTTCCTACAAAAATCAGTCAGCAATCCCTATACTTCGAGAATCCAGGCTCAGAAAGCAACACAAGCAGAGGTGGGCAGTAATATTTACAACTTCCCTTTTTTCTGAAAGTACCCCAGAGCTAAGAGCTAGCCACCAGCTATGTGGTTAGCCTATCTGGGGGATCCACCGTTAATGCAACAGCAGCTGTTCCCTGGCAACTTCCTATTCTACTTATCATTACAAAGGTGGCATCACCC